CCCCAAAACCCCAAAACCCCAAAACCCCTTGAATATCAAAGCCAACGATTTTTAATTTTAAAGAATTAAAGGTGTGAATTTCTATTAACATTTTTTACTTATTATGAAACAAAATTTAACAAGAGTAATGAGTAGATGCTATAAAAAGGCTAAACTATTTTTCAACGCCTTATTTTTATAGCATTCAAATCTTTTGTAATGCTGGTGAGATTTTCTTTCTCCTTATTCATCCTATCCTCATATTCATCGAATCTTTCTTACCATTTAGTCTTATTATCTTCAACGTTTTGAATATTCTATTCTATGCTAATTACCTGATTCATAGCCTGAATAAATGGAACAATGATGAAATCATAATATCCAATCTAGGATTTGGCAATATTTACGATAGATCTGTCCATCAAATAGCTGATTTTACTTCCCGCATTTCTCTCAAGATCTCCTTAATGGAAGAATTCAACGAATAATAGTTCGGTCCAATTTAAACATACATCCCATTGTTTTGTAGCATTAGAAATATCAGCTAAATGAAAAGTTTCGTACATGACAAAATCTTTGTCAGAGCCAGCAGGTTCAAATTCTGGGGATTAAATTCTCGCCTTAAATTTTCCTAATTCAGAAAAGTGCTGTGACATATCAGTATTTAATATTGCACCTATCATGACTGCCCTTGCTCTTTTATATTATTCTTTGCTAAAATTCTCCATAAAGTTGCTCTGAGGTTCTAGCATTGTCGCAAATGAACTGGCAACATGATGATTTTCTAAGACGGATACATCATTATATCTAATAGCTATAGGATCTCTGGTTTCTGTAAGGTAGATATTGTTTAAACCTGGATGCTCATGATCGTGGCATGATCCAGCTACAAGTAATGCCATAAAATCTAAATTATCTATTTTGCATTTCTCTTTTAAACCGCAAGTTACAGAAAAATAATAAAATGACTAAATAAAATTTAACTTTAACAAAATAAATATACCTGGCATAAATCAGCTCCATGAGTCTTGTTATGGTATGTGATGTCTTTGTATCCTTATTGAATGTGTTCTATGAAGTTTATAAATGTCTCAAGATCAATTTTAAGAGAATGGAACATGTTTTCTTGAGCTAGCAAGTAAGTTGTGATTGTAACCAATTCATTTTGAAGTGTAAAATTTTGTACAGTAAAAATATTAAAGTCTAAAGTGGCTATTTTTTCAAACTCTTTCTTTGTCTTATCGCTAAACTCTAAGGTATTTTCAACTTTGTCAACAGTTACATAGAATTTTTTCTGCTCATTCTTTGTATCAGAAACGTTCATTGGATCAAATTGCAATAAACTCTATCTTCTAACTAAAGGGGGTAAAACAAGCTTTTTCTCCTCTGTAGCACCTCTAGAATAAGTATTCAAGAGCATCTAAACTTCTTTGCTACTTTGAGTGTTGTTTAGATTTTAGTCGTAATCTATATTCACCTCATATAGTTTATTAGATGCTATTATTTTTATGCAATAATTTAAATCTTGGATAATCCTAGTGTCATTCATGTCCATCTAATCTCGTAACTCGTTTAAAATCTCTAGAACTTTTTCAAGAGGAGATCTCATATCAAATCCCATTTTTAAAATTGTCCTCTTGTGCTATTCTCTTTTTGATTTCAAGGCACTTAATTTTCTAACTAGAAGAAATATTCTTAGGACTCTGAAAACGCTTCGAATTTTTAAAAATCCTTAAAGTGCAGGGTTATCGACGAAAATATCAAGAAATACGAAGATAATGCTTAGAATAATGATGACGATGTCAAATATATTCCAGCTATCTTTGAGATATAACATACCATAACCAATAAGATGGAATACTATTTCTATACAAAATATGCCTAATATAACGAGTTCAATAATATAGAAAACATTTTGACTTTTTTCATCGTTGAAGAATGTGTCCACGAAGGCGAAAAAGATAAAAATTAGCAAAGTGTAGAAGATTATCAAAATAATCATAGCCACATCAAATGGTTTTGATCTCAGCATTAATGCTATTTCGAGTCTAGTTCCTCTAATACCAAGCTTCTGAAGTTCTTCAGGCTCTAAAAGATTATAAGACTTTTCTATTTTAATCTTTTTAGACTCAGGAGGTCTCTATGTTTCCTCTTTCATTGACTATCTTTAATAATTTAAAACAAATTACAGTAGTTGATTTTCGCTCAATCATTGGTCGGTTAGTTCTAGGACTCTCTGGTTGCACTCTCACCCTGCTCAATTCCATCATTGACAATTTTGACATACTATTTGTGTGCCAGTTATCATCATTTGTTTCTAAGAATTTAACCGAATAGATTACTTGTATGCATAGTTAAATGATGCTGTGTTTATTCACTCATTTATAGAAATTTAAGAAAGTTTAATTTTAATTTATTCAATACTATTTTACTCTCTTGCAATCGAAATTCACTAACATGGGGTTTTGGGGTTTTGGGG